AGCGGTTCTCTAATAACAGCCAAACACACATGGCTTTCATCAAGGATAAAATCCTTCTTCATTGATGAGAATACATAAGCAGTCACTGTGTGTCTGCAAATTATCCTTAAATAGCTCTCTAATTCTGCTTTTTAAAACATTTGTTGTTATAAAAAGCTTGAGTTGCATTTTATATGGTTCCTGGGGCCCTAATATAAAATTCATCTAGCCATAAACTCATAACTACAGGCATAATATGTATCATCAATTTGAGGTAGATTCTATCTTACATTTCAAAATTAAAAGCTATCATTATTTAGTTTTAAAATGCTAATCATCTTCCCATTAGTTCAAAGAGAATTTTGATCAAAGCTTTATGAAAGTGAAGTGTTAGGATGTACTGTAGAAGTGTTGAATTCATTAACATTTGTCAACTGTTTAGCCTGAGTGATTGAATTATTAATACAGTAATTACTTAAAAAAAAAGTTACATATACAATCATAATCCCAGCATATATCCTCCAACTTTAATAACTAGTTTTGCTTCCAGAAGTATAATCAATGCCAATTTTTAAAGTCAAATGAAAGTACATTGATGTTCTTTAGCTAGTGCATTATTTTTTGTCTTAGCTGTTTTATTTTGCACTTTGTCACCTATCCAGTTGCCAAAGCTGAAGTATTATGCACATATCTATGCTTCCAAGGTTAACGCTATAATAGACAATTTCAGTTACGTGTGAAAACCTAACATTCACTCTACAGTAAAAGAAGCATTCATTCACCAGTTCTATACAACATTAGACTCCTCAAACAGTGAGAAGAATTTTCACGTAATCAGTAGCGAAAATTGAATATTTATATTAGTAAATTTCTGCAGTAGCATACTGTAAAAAAGATGTGTAAATCTTAGGTACCTGTTATCATAGACTTGACAACCATTAAACTAGCTATGGAAAAGCATTTTAAGAAGTATTTCTTTGGTATACAGAAAAGAGAAACAACAGATGTGAAGTAAATCAGTAGCAATCACAAACAGAAAAGCAGTTAAAGCAACATTGTTCCATGGTTAATTCAGCTTCAGCTATGCTAAGAAAAAACCCTAAAAGGTAAGAGTCAGTAGCAATGCATTAGCAAGCATACTGGACAGAACTGAGAGGTTCTTTGTTTATGGTCATGCCAAGGGTTGACAAACACAAGTCCACATGAAAATCATAACTGCTTATGCAATGTCACAAAGCTTAGCCTCTTGCAAGCACCTAGCTCTGTACGTAACAAAACTGCCAGTGCTGTATGTGTCTTAGTCATGAGTAGGCACATTATTCTAAAGCTAATCACTAGTGAGCTGTGGATATTTCTAGATGTTAAAAAATGAACGTGGTTGGTTCCCGTGCTATACATCCTCATAGAAATCACTGATGTTTGCACTGATTGTGACACTGACATATACCAGATGAACTCTGCCCAGACAAATGTAATTCTAGTCACTGATTGAGACACAGATGTACATGTATTAGAGAACACCACATAAGAATGCAGAATCATGGAATGGTTTAGGTTGGAAGGGACCTTGAAGATCATCTAGTTCCAGGCCCCCTGCCATGGGCAGGGACACCTTCCACCAGACCAGGTTGCTCAAAGCCCCATCCAACCTGGCCTTGAACACTGCCAGGGAGGGGGCAGCCACAGCTTCTCTGGGCAACCTGTGCCAGTGTCTCACCACCCTTGTAGTGAAGAATTTCTTCCTCATATCTAATCTAAATCTACCCTCTTTCAGTTTGCAATCATCTTAAAAGTGAAAGGCAATAATACTAGATTTAGAGTTCATGTTTTCTTTCTATGAGTAATTTTGAGATTTCAGAATTTGTTTCACTTTCCAAATAAGAATGAGAATATCTTTAAATATGCAGAATTTTAAAAATGTTTTAGATCAAACAATGTATTGTTAGATGAAGTTAAAGTATTTTATTTGGATGTAGCTATAATTACAAAAGGGAAAATTTAAAAACAAAAAGGGGATTTCAAAATGAAAAATAAATCCTTTTCTTATCAGAACTGTCTTCAACTTGTGATAAGACTATTGTCATACTAACTACATTACAATACGAAGCTAAAAGGCAACTGCCAAGCTTTTAACTATAAATAATATTTAGTAAATTCCAATACTCCAAAGATGTAATCAGGTTTCTGCTATTAATTCACATTTTAATATTTTTTTTTAAGTTCTTTGAGGACTGGGCTGGGTGCAAAGAAGACTTTGTAGCACCCCATTCATAATGCCTACTAAAGAGGTCCCTACACTAACCCAAAACCCAAAGATCTCTTAGATTTGTCTAGGAATATGCCAGGTTGTTCTGCTCCAGAAGGGATCCTAGGAATTACTAGTCTGTATGAACTATCAATAGTTAGGGGAATGAGGACCTAAAGAAAACAGACTCCAAATTCTCAGTACAGATACGCATTTTCACTTTTCATCAAATATTTAAAACTAACACGCAAATAAGGAAGACCCATATCTACCTCCCAACTGCCTGAAAGGGTATAAAGAACACCTTTCTGAAATCAGAGGTTATTGCAGGAAAGGCCCATCTCACCTTTTCCTGTTAAAGCAGTTTAGACGTATATAGAATAAAAGGCAAGAAAGAGAGGAAGAACCTGGCAAGAGTATATAGTTGGGATCATCCTCTGTAAGAAAGGAGACTAGAAATTCTCTCCATTCTAGCTTCTTGCACTTTCCTTACTGCCTTCAGTAGAAGATATACACCGGCCTTTTTTTGTTCTTTTGTTACTGTGTCATAGGAAAATGAAGATTCAGCTCATCAGTGTACAAACCAACACTTCCAAAATGTCAGGGCTTTACGTACTAAATATGTTACAAGCCTAGATGTTAAAATCTCCTACCAGTTGGCAACATAAACTGGGAAACCGTTTATAGAGTAGTAATCAAAACATTATCTACAGTATTTCAAGTGCCATCTTATGGAAAATGTGTGTGACTCTCATAGAAAGATTAGCAAAGTAATCTTCAGTACCTCTGCAGAAACACCTCTTGGTAGCAACTGATGCCAGCATAGTTCTTTAATTTTAAAGATCTTTTTAGCTTTTTAAAGGAGAACTAGTTCCATATCTACCAATTATACTACAAGAATATTCAAAATTCTATCTGTGAAGCATGTTAGGATTTCTTAAACTGTATCCAGTGTGCAGCATGTTTGTAAAACAAAATAAGGGGGGGAGGGGGGAGTTATCACTATAGCAATCCATAGGAGATAAAAAGGAGGGGAGTGAATTTATTTAAATTTAATTTTAATTTTAAATTAAATTAAATTAAATTAATAATTAATTAAATAAATTATTTTTTTAAAAAAATATTAAAAAACTTTACATTATAAAGTTTAAAAGTATTATTTCTTATTAATTTAAACATTACAGACATTTTATAACTCTGGTTGTTTAACTAGATATACAGTAGAAAACTGTCTATAAAAATAACTGAAAAGCATGTAGTAAGAAGCTATGTAATGAAATTTTTGGGGTTTTTTTACTTATGAGATAATGATGCCATTATCAATAGAAAACATGTCAGAAGGTAGTCCAGCAATATTCCAAGCTCTGAGCTCCACTGGTTCTCCCAAGGTATTTGTTAAAGAAAAATCATCAGAACAAAGAATGTCTTTCTTTTTACATAGCAATGCCCACTCTTTAATTTGCACCTAGGTAAGATGAAAACAAATATTAACTGAAGTTCTGTCTATTCACAGAATATTCAAACTATTAAAAAAATGTATTTTTCAACCCATTTCCCATACCAGTTACTACATACAAGATCTCTATTATCTTCAAATGGAAAGAAACTCATCCTTCTGTATAAAATGTCTAAAAATGTCTCTTAAAATGCCTTTTTATGTGTTTTCTGTATATGAAATATAAGTTTATTGGTCCAAGCCTTGGCATGATTTTATTTACCATTTCAGCAGCAGTCTTCTACACTTATAGTATAGAACAAATGCACATATTCTAACTAAAAAAAAAAATTGAATCTCCATTATTTAACTCTCAGGACACACTTAATGGGCACTTGTTAGGCCTTAACCAAACTTACAACGTAACAATCATTTAGAGTTCACTGTTCTCTGTATCATCTAACTCACTACAGTCATGTAAACAGTATCGTTTGTATTTGTATGGTGCATAATGATAATGAAGACACAGAGACCTTTAAATATGTAAACCAAAAAGTGTATTCCACTAGGAATAATGCTTCTAAGGAAGTGAAACGTATAGAAATAGCATGTTCATATGAAAGGCACAATCTTGTATGAAAGCTATGTATGAGGTCTAAGAAATTGGGTTGTAGTATTCTAAATTAAAAAATTAGCTGGCAAAGCCTCAAGGAACAAAACTCAGAAACGCAGTGTTAAAGGAAATGTTCTAAGGGCTAGAGACATTCACAGAGGTGGTGAATGAAGGACTCATCCATTTCCATAAACCAAAGTTAATATTCCAAAGTAACCTTTTTCACTTATGAAAATTACAGGAGGAAAAAAAACCACCAACATAGCAGCAGATGAAATTAAGAACAGCACAAAAGCAATTATGCTATCCAACGATTTCTGAAAGAGATACCTAACTAACATGTGTCTGCACAATCATGAAAGTAAGAATAAGCAACCATGAATCTGTACCTACTGTTGCACAGAGAAAGAAACTATGCAGTCAGAGAGAATGACATTACACTAAACTTTTGAGATGAAACCACTATGCATTAATTTTTAGTGAATAATCATGCAGAGGTCTCTGCCTTTTATAACTACCATGTACACCTGTATCTACACTTGCCTGGAGCAGTTAAGCACCCCTTAAGATGTTTCACAAAAAGTATTCCTACCTACCCAGACACAATGTTATACACAATGTAGGTTAAAAGCATACAAGCGAACACTTTCTCAAAATTATGTAATTTGGAATTGCAAAAGCTTCTGACTATTTATTCACACTATAAATACTCATACCATAAACTCTCACTCTATAAAGTTTTAAAATAGTAACTTCAGAACATGGACATTACAAAGAAAATAACTGTTTGAAAAAACAGTACAAAACTTTCTAAAGAAAAATGGACAAAGGAAGTACGTTGAAGGAAAAGTGGAAATAAGGATTATATCCAAATTCTATGCTCAAATGAGGTACACTGATTTTTTTTCTCTCTTAATTTTTAGCAATTTTTGATACCAAAAGAAATGGGCATTAATTTATTCAGCTGAATTCAGTGGCAGGTTTTGGTGTTCAAAAACTTTCATCACAGTCAGGGTAATTTTGACATCCAAAATTTCTTGTATCTAAAATCAGCTGTCATGTCAAAATCTTTTTGTACTCAGAATTTCCATTTTTTTCACTATGAATTACAGGTAAAAATCTGTTCTGTATTATTGAGCTACTGTATCTTTTGTCTTTTTTTGTACAGAATTACTCCACTTCAAACCTTGCTTAATTGTGCTGCTGCTGAAATAGAAGCTAATTCTGTTTTCTTTGAAGTTAAGCAGAATTTAGCCATTGAATGGAAGAAGAATAACCAGAGCCATGAGGTGTAAAGTTACTGGCAATTGATTCAGCAAAGAAAAGCAACCAAAGGACTCCATGCTTTACCCAGTAAGAAGTACTTTACAGTAGGACAAAGGAAGGATTTCCCCCAAGAGTCTTATAACACAACTCAAAATCCTGCAATACAGTTTCAGTTCCACTTAAGAATTCTATTAAAACATAATTTAAAAATACAAAATTTATATTAGAAGAAAAAATACTAATATAATTACAAAACAAACAGGGACAAAAATTACAGGGATAAAAATCACTGTATGTATTACTTGTCTGTAGCTGGATGCAAAGGCTCCTAGGTAGGCTACAATTCCTGATGAAATAAGTATATCTCCAGTCAAATTGATGTACTGCCTTCCCAGTTCCAAAGCAGTCACATGCCAGTGAGTTTTTTCACCCCCAAGGCCACCAATCAATTGTTCTGCTCACTGTAGTTTTTTGCTGCATAGCTCAACCTCAGAATAAAAATAGTGCTGATTATATTACCTGATCACTTTGAAGACATTTTACAGATATTAAAAGCATTCAAGGATTATTTTACTGTGCAAATGTTTTCTTAAGTAATTTCATCAAACAGAAAGAAAACACCTTCTTATTATAATGGAAATGTTTAAAGAACAAAAACAACCTCAGTGCCAGCACAGTAGTCTATTCAGTTACATTTTCATCCAAATAAAGGAAGAGACCAATACAAAACGTGCAATTCAAAATAGCTCTGTATGCAATATGGAAAATATTAATAGTCAAGGAAATTACCTACGTGTCATAAGAGAAACAAAAGCACCTTAAAGAGATCAAAGTCTCATGAAAGTAGGTACAGTCTTTGCTGCAAAAACACATCCTCATGAATACATAATCTGCATTTCTGTTGTTGGTTTTTAACTAAGCCATCTTTCCAGGCATGTTTATAATCTAACAAAAAAATATGATTTAACAGGAATTTAATCCAGCTCTCTTAGAATTCTTTACTATCTAGTAGAGACACATTTCAGCCATGGAATAGGAGAAAAATGATGCCAACTCTTGCTTCTGTTACAGTCTTCTCTCTCTTCTGGTAACAATAGCAGCCAATTTATACCACAGTAACAAAATGCTTGTGTAGTGTATCTCTCCCTTCTACTTTCAAACTGTATCAGGATGCAGAAGAAACATAGAAAGAGCTGATTTTAACTACAGACAAGAATTAAGACTCCATTTCAAATTCCAATACAATTTTGTAAAGAAACCTCAAGATGATGTACTGCAAATCTTAAAAAAAAAAAAAAAAATCAAACCAAAACAACCCAGCAACAAAACACCAAACAAAAACCCCCCAACTTCTAAACATTGCCTGTTCCTGCACACATGACAGCTATTTAGCATTCAGGAACAGAGTTTACCAAAAACATTCTCAAAATTGCATTAGCAGAGAATGCATAAAATAAACTTTCAAAACTTTAAATGTACTGACCTACAAGATGAATCAAACTCTTAGTACAATCATTGAAAATTTATCTCCTCACAAGAAAGCAGATATAAGGATGCAAGAGAGTGATATCAATGGGTAAATTCATAACATCTACAATTTCTATTACTTTAAAACATTTATTCCTCATGCTTCTCCCATTTATGACTTCAAGACAATTAGACCAAAATAAAAAGATGGTTATCTGAAAGTATGACTTGTTCAACATATTGTCAGTTAAAAGGAAAAATACCATTTGATAAAGAAGAAATTTTTAAGTAACTTTTCTGAATATCAATAGAACAATAGTTCATCTTTTGCATCATATACCTGATTTTCCAAGTCAACCTTCTCCTGTTTCTTGGATTCCAGTGTCTGCCGGAGTACAGCCAATTTACCTTGAACTTCCCTCAGGTCTGCTTGTTTCTTTCTTAGACCATCCGTAGCAATCTTTAATTTTCCTTCACCTTGATTCAACTTTAGCTTTTGGGGTGCAACATTTTTGGTCACTCTAAATGAAGTCAAAGAACAAATTAACCATCTGAAAGATGCATCCTCACTCCAGGTTTACTGTTAAAAAAGCAAACACAGGAAACATGAAGGGAAACCTCAGCAACTCAGTAGCTCATGCAATATTCCATTTCATAATCTGATGGTATCTGAAGACAACTAGTTTTTACTTAATCACTTGTTTCTGTGGTATGCAGTTTCTGCAAATTTTTCTGTAACAACAGGGAACGATTAAAAGCAAAAAGGGTAATGCTTCCAAACTGTGTCCCATTTGATCACAATTCAGAATCCATTATGGATTTGAGCCATTAGAAATGCACAAATAAACATATATATATGTTTAGTAACGCTCACAGACACAGTACACACAAATACAGACCACTGTGCACACAAAATAAAAGAAAAAATTAACAGCTTTTCACATCCAATAATCTATTTTCCAGTTTTGAGGATTTCAATCCTTTACAGAGATATTTTTGTGAGAAGAATACTGGAAGTAATATATAACTGAAAACATATTGTTCACCTTTCCAAAAACAATAAGCAAGAAAATAAGCTAGAATGTCCTCATAATTAATAAATCCCCTCTTGTACTGGTGTAACTTGCAGAACTCCTTTAAAGTCCACCTTTTTAGTTAATTTTCTTTGTAACAATTGGTACTTGTAATGTAATAGTTGTTCACAAATTGAGGACTCTACCAAGTATACATTTACTAATCTTTCAGTCAAATAACAAAATATCCTCTCGAATGAAGGCATGCACTACCTACCGTGACACAACTTTCAAACCTTAGTCGCCCAGGGCTGATTTACTGTTAAATGTGAGTTCTGTATGTTTCAGTTTAGGAAACACCACAAAAAATAAGCACACTTTTTCAGTGCATCAAATACAATGTGTAACAAAAAATATGCTTTGGGTTTGATATGACTGCCAGAAATTTACAAAGACTTTTCAATAAAGCTTCTATTTTGTGCAACACTCTAAAAGGAAGTTAACTTTATTTGCTAACTGAACAGATTGTTGCTCCCATGCCTTCTTAGACAAATTCAGACCTGAAAATCAGGCCCTACACCTTAACATCAGGTATCTTACGTGAATGAATCTTTACCACTGCTTATTTGCACGTTTCACACTCCTAAGAAGTAACTTCACATCTCTTTCAGTGTTAAAATAAACTGATCTCTTTAATCAAATTTATTTTAACATTTTTTACAATTTTTATACATACTTATCTATCAAAAAACTCCATGGCTATGACCCATTTGCACAGACCCTCTGCTGCCATGGAAGCATTTCAAATCTTGCCTGGTACAAACTCAGGATTTGTAAGATACTGTTTTCTTATGATAGCCATGCAAGCTGGGGGAATGTTATCCTTGTCATATTCATGAAGACACTGAAGAAATTTTATGTCACCCAGAAGTCTCTTAGCAGGACCCCAGAAATCCTCAATTTTTTTTTCCAGAACCTGTTTGATCTGGAATCCTTTGATGGCTTTAAGGATGCATATAGCTTCCATTACAAGCTTGACATCTGCAGGAGGACTCTTCATGGACTTAACCACAGTAATATCCTTAAAATAATAATTAAAATAAAACACCTTTAGAGGTGTGAACATAGGTGGATTAATTCTTTTATTACAAATAGAAATAATAACCCTTTTTATGCCAAGATGGTATTCTTCCATATACATTTACTATTCTCGTACTTGATAGTTTTAAAATGATCTCAAGTCCATAGCACAAGCCTGGAATATTAGCAAAATTTTTATTTAATTTTTCTCCCATTCTTTCTAGTCCTTTCTTTAAGGTGCTATGCAGGTTAAACTAACACTGACATCTAAACAAAAATATCTGATATCTAGTCAACAGTTTAGAGAGGAGACAAAAAAATCCTTATCTGTCATTCATTTTTTAGTTGTACTTTTTCTAATTCAGTAGCAGGCATTGCACCTCAGTTATGGAATTCAGATGTTCCAGTGTTACGCTCTACCCTTCAGTTCAGGCTCTAACACAATACTTCCAAGCTGACAGGATCACATCAACAGTGGATTAGTAGATTTAAGATAACAAGGTAAAAGCTGCCTTCAACTGAGAACTAAAGATCTATGCTCTCCAAGTACAGAAAATAAATCAATTAGTATTCTGGTCAGTTATTAAACTCCCAGAGTGAGCTTAATGAGGGAAGAGGCAGCTAAAAGGAAGAAAACTATTGGGTAACTAGTACTGACATTACAAGAAATAGCAGGAAATGAATAAGTAAATATAGAAAAATAAGATAAAGGAATGAAACACATCTACACAAATGCACAGCAAATTAAGCAAGAGGTTTGTAAACTAAAGATTTATGGAGCATAATCTCTCTTACTCTTCCCAAAGAATAACTCTGGATGGAAGTTCAAATATTCTTTCTAAGCTTTTTGCAGAAAATACATACTTCAATAAACTAAAGGATTTCTAGATTCCCATGTTTATTTTGCCAATTAGTGTCAGATTTTGAGAGCTTGCCCATGGTTTCTTTGAGGTCTAAAATCCTGAGTTCTGGGAATATTGATTTCTGTCACAAAAACCAGAAAAATGTTAAAAGACTGGATGGAAAAAAAAGACAATTATTTCCTTGAAACTGTGAACTATAGTTCCTGGAGCTAAAGGCAACAAACAAAACAAAACAACCAACAACAAATACAACAACCAAAACCTGCAACCACACAAGTGTTTAGGAGAGGGAAACAAAAGCCAGGTAAATAAAGCCAGGGAATTTCAATGAGGCCATCAGAAAATTAGCTGATGTGATCTCCAGAGTAGGAAGTCCTTGGAGATGAAGAACAATTAGCCAGCCATTCTAGGAAACAAAATTAAGGATAAATACAAATTGACTTAATACAACCAAGGGTTGTAAGCAGAGTAGGAGACTATTTTAAAGGCAAAACTCAAACTCAGCTGCAATATGAAGTATAACAAGAAAAGTGCTATAACTACAGCAATAGTAAGAAAAGCAAGAAAAATGCTGGCTAGATACTTGGTGAAAAGGGCAAGATATAAGAAAATGACATACAGAGTCAAAATGTTAATGCTTTTTATATCTGACTTCTCTAAAAGATTAACTGTGCGTATGTGACTAGCACCATTGATAACACTGCAAAACACAGCAAAGATGTCACCAAGGTCACACAGGACTGGACCTATGCAATATTTGCATTACTGAAATGCATGATTGAAAAGACAATGTTTATTAAATTTCCAACCAACAGAAAGTTGAGAGTAAATGCAAACACACTGGAGTAGAAACCAGGAAAAAAATATCTTGACAAACTGCAGAAATAGAAAAGTATACTAGAACCAGTACAAAAAGAAAAAAGAAAGGAAAAGCGACAATTATGTAACAGTGATTTTCAGGAAAAGATACAGCTGTTAGCATGAATCACAAAGTACAAATGTCAATAATCCTCTTCTACTCTGCACAGTATTCAGCAAAACTACAGCTGAAATACTGTATTCAACTTTGAGAAGTGCACATGAAGTGAATGTATGGAGAAGGTCCAGAAAGAATAACCAGGAAAGCTAATCTGATTTATGTGAAAAGATTAACACAATAGTGATTACTCACCTTATAGAAAAGAAAACTGGGAGTGGCGAGATCAACAAGTACAGTCTTTAACTGCATAAAAGATAACCATGTCCCCAGGGAGCAGGACACAAAACAAGTTTACAACTCATTAAGTTATAATGAGTAAGATTAACAGTAAATACCAGGAAAACCTTAATGATAAATGCACATAAAGTGGAACAGATTATAAGTAAAAGAAGATGACTTCCAGAGGTCACTTCCTAGTTCTAAATTAGTGTCTTCATATATGTATTGCTACAAAACTTAGATTTCAACAGCAAAATAACACTTAAAATTGCTATACATTTTCTAACCCTTGCTGAACAAGACACATGAGGTACACAGTTCCTTTTGACTTTAGATACTCATTTCAGCAGTACTGAGTTATGCATAGATCTGGTTCTCTAAACAAAGCACTTAATCTGCACATTTACATACGTAGAATTATGGGCACAATTTGCAACGTGTGCCCTGCTCTGCTTTCCATCAGTGGTGGTCAGGGTGAAGGGTGAATCAATAACAAGAGTCCTGTACAGGTACTTTAAGCTCTCCTACACACAGAATTTTTTTGTGTTCATAATGCTATTTAACTGCATTTTGAGGAAAAAGCCTCTATTTTTTTTTTCCCTTGGAAGTTCCTACTACATTTTTTTTCCTCCTTTTGTATTATAATACTCCCTTACTTGCAGGCAATAAGCACTGACAGTAGCTGAAGCATTCATTAGCCTTCAAAGCCTCGTTCTCATCTTGTTATTCACAAGTATAATGCAATTGCCTTGAAGTGACTAAGTAGCCATCTACTATTTTCACAAAGCACGCCAATGATTTGACAGTGCCAGAATCTAAAACTTTTAATACCTGAAATAGCTGTAGATAACAAACCACCTGTTTTCTATCTAAGGTTTCCTTGAATGTTTTTGAAAATCTTGTTTTCAGCAACAATAGCTGGAGCATGTAGTTCATTCTCACTCTTAACAATCTGGGAGACTTCCTTTCAACCCACAATGAGCAAAACATTATCCAGGCAAAGAAAACCTGAATATCCATAAAACCAAAGGTGGCTTGCCTCCACTGTCATACTCTTATGAAGGGTGGTCCCTTAACACAGGCAGACACAGAATTTCAACATCAAGTTCTAGACTCAAAGACTGGATATAAAAATATCAGTTGACAGGCTGTCAGGTTCTAAATAAGAAAGTAAAAAGCATACATTTTCTAACTTCTCAATTGTTGACTCAAAATATTTTTATTACTATGAATTTTGAAATGTCTAGAATATATTTGATCTTGTGGTCCACAAAAATTCAGTGTTACAGCTTTTTTGCTAGAAAATAAAGACAGAGTAACATTTTGCTTGTTAAAACTGAAAGATTTCAAGAAGTTTCTAAATTACAAAACTCTGTAAGTATAATGTAAAAATCTGAAAAGGCGGATATTCCATGATTTTGTGTATCTGAATACTTCTCCAGGGCCTAAATATGCATTGTTAGCCATACCTGTGCAGTGGGAGTGTCAAGGGCAGCCAGAGCACTTTCTAAACAAGGCATGGCTTGTGCTAAGTCAGCATTGCATTCGTCTTTGATGGCTTTTGCAGCCATAGCCTGCTCATTTGCCACTGCTTCATCAGCTTTCACGACTCTTTCAGTTTTGGCTACTTCCAAAGATTCTTTTTGAATACCGACCATCATCTCATCAATCTGCTTGCTAGCTTTCCGTAACCGAGGTTGCAGAGCCTCCAGCTCAGACTGCATCAAGGCTACTTGAGATGCAGCAGAGTTCAGTTTCTCCAAGCCAACTTCATATCTTCTTTTCATTTTCATCATCTTACTGAAAATAAATAGTACTTTATTATAAAGATATCTTATCAGCACTTGATCACTTAATGTATTGGGATCCATTCCCCAAATTTCTCACTACTCTAAATAATCAAATGCTCTGCCAATCTTGTTTGATTTACTCAACAAATAGTAAACATAGCAGGGATTACGTGAGCCATAGTCTGGAACAATTCCGTCACGTATACTCAGAGATATAGATAAAGAAGTGATCAGATGGGATACAGATAAATAAGTGACCACTTATAGGTAAGTAAGTGATTGTTAAGCTTCTGCCTCTTTGTTGGCAGGAGCTACAAAATCAAGATGGCACAGTAGTAACAGACAAGAAAAGGACAGGGAGGAGATGGGCATACACTCATGATTATTAGTTGAGGTGAGGTTGAAATAGGATTAATATAATTAGGAAAATCATTTTAGCAGGAAAATGTGAACGGCTCTTGGGACACCCAACAGTGTCAGAATCAACAAATTCCAAAGGCATCAAATCATTACATTCAAAACTGTATTCCTTTATTCCTGGAATTTCTTGTTGCATGCAGTATTTCACACAGCCTGATGATCAAATTAAGCACTTGTCTTAGCTGTTATGGGAAGGAAAGTAAAAGGAACTTTCCCTCACCAGCGATGAGAACAGAACAGATGTGCACATGCATACAGAGGTCCTTTCTGCACCAGCACAGACAGCTGAGCCCTGCTAGCAAGCCAATGACACCTAGCAACTTGGAAGCTGGTTTCCCAGATGTCATCTTTCCTACACCCTCCAGAGAACCACAGAGTAAATAGGCTGCATTAATTACTCTGGTAGCATAATATACATAATCAACATATAGTAACATCACCAGGGATATTAGAAGTGGTCTAATGCAAGTATGTTTTGAGAGCACCAAGTCAGACCTTTTGTCCAATAAGGAAGCATGTGTCCTAAGAGTACATTTTATCCATCTACCATTCTGTCCATTTAAAGTAACTGAAAAAAATTCACTTGTTTTGTTCAGATTAGCTGTAAGAGATGGAAAATAATATTTTTTGTGAACTTCAGTTCCTTTAGAAAAGGTCACATTATAAATCCTTACGTGCGTTTCTTTTCAAGTAGACTTTTAAAAGCGGAGATCAATTCCAGGTATGAAGTAGGTGTAACATAGTTGCATCTTTGAAGCTCCACATGGTATAAGTCAGATAAAACAATGGTAGGTGTATGAAAGCTTTTACACATGTCAATGCAGCCACTTCGAGTTTCTTCTGACATATCAACATCTGCCAAGAAGCGAGAGGCAACAGCTTCTAATGCATCTTCAGGCCATGTCTAAAACAAATTAATAAATACCCTTCTCTTATTCAGTACTTCCCACTCACAAATCTCAAAACATTGTTCAAAAAAGTTCACCCCATTTCATAGATAAAGTTACTGAGGCACAGAGAACTGACTTCATGATGAAAAGATCATCAAATAGGACTAAAACAGAACTGGAAATATCTACTTAAGAGATTCAGTTCAAGCTCACTGTCTTATTTCATCCAACAGAAATACTGTTACTAAATGGAAAATTTTGCATTTTCAGTATGTCCATATGTATGTGTATAACTGTCTCTGCTCTTCCTCTTCAAAACAACCTTCAAAGATACAGTACTGCATTGTAAAACTTGATGAAATTTAAGTTCCTCAGATTCTTTATATGATTAAATTCTGCACCTTAAATCTTTTGCACATAAGAGTCAGATAGAATATAGTTTTATTGCAGAGTAGTGGGGGAAAATCTGCAATGCCTACAGTTCTATGTTCATTCAATTATATTCTTATACCACAATCAGACAGTTATTTTCTTGATGATTTTGCATTCAGCCTGTACCGGCCTCAATTACAGTCAGAACAGTTCTAATGGTGTAAACAATTTAAAGCACAACACTAACAAAATTAAAGATATTTTTCACTGCTAACTTGACGAAAGAGAATTACTTCTTACAAAAAGGGCTGAAGTCATGTTTCTATTGCATTTCCACTAGAATAACAAGCCCAACAAAAGTTTTTACCTGAAACCAGTCTAGTGTGCAGCAGTTTACAAGAGCTGGAAATTTACCAAGGTGATTACAGAAAGCATCTCCAATAGGACTCATCGCCAGTACTATATGAAGCTGATCTCGACAGCAATCAACAAACATGTTAAAAAGAGCTATAGGACTGCTATCTGTCTGTTTTGTCCTGTCCCGTTGGCAATCTACTTGATGCATTTGCTCACAAATTTCTTGTTTCTCATCTACCACAAAGAGGTTTGGCACCTCACCTGCATTTAGTAAGTTGTTAATGTCTTCTAAGAATGATTCCTTTTTAATCTGTGTATCTGTAAAAAAAAAAAAACTCCTTGCATTTCCCACTCAGTAGATTTTCTTAGTATGACTTTTAAGTCCTTATGCCACTCATTGATACCATAACTTTTAGTTATTTCAACCTGGAAAAGATTGTATTCAGCCATATAGGCTGCTAATTGAGTAAGAGATTGTTGACCACTACCTCCAACACCAACAAGGAGGGCATGGCTCTGAGGCTGTTTCAGAATGTGGGAAATTCTACAAATATGTTCTATAGCAAATCAGAACAAGACAAGCTGCATTGGCTTTTTGCTCATGTTACTAAACTCTTCAAGGTAACTCTCTACAACTAGTCTCAATTGATCCACATCACTAATCTCCCGGTATTTAGTGTCCTCTCTCTTAGGGTCATGAAAATCACAAAACATTAAGCTACATAAGTCATCTTCTCTCACTCTGCCACCATTGTTGAAGTCCAGATTTTGGAAAAGTTCATGAAAGTCTTCAGGTAGGTTATTTTTCTCTGCTTCTTGGATAAACCCAACAAGCCAAGCCTGGTCACAATTATCCACCAAGCGATCATAATACACTCTAAGAACCTGTACAATAAAAATGTATTTATTTTATTAGTTACTTCTGCTCTTGAATTATCAAGATAAAACAAATGGAGTCCTGAAAAGGGCTTCAAGATATAAACCACCTTAAAATTCACTACATAGAAAAAAACCAATATAGATACTTAGAATTAATTTGAACAGTTGAGCCCAGTAATATTACTTCTGAAGTAAAATGAAAATTCATTCAGAAATAAATATACACACACACATATACATATTTATAAATGTTACTACACAAACGCATAAAATGCTCCTGAAAAGAGGAAGGGAGAACAACTTGGTGTTTCCACTACAGCTAGATAGGACAAGTTATGGGTTTGCATCTCAAGAAAGAGGACTGCAGCTGGAGATTAGAAAATGTTTTTAATGAAAAAGATAGTGAAGAACATGAATATTGCCTGGCAGTCTAAGCATCCTTCATCCTTAAAGAACTGTAAGAAAGTTTTAGAAAAAGCACTTCAAAAGTAACTGTTGTTCCTTTCTTTATATGATCCTGCTTTGAGGAAGAATGATGGACTAGATGATCACCAAAGATCTCCTCCATGGTCACTTTACATTGATTTGATTCTATGAACTATGGCTAAATATTTAAAAAGCAACAGTTATCAATGACGTTGCTTTCTTTTAATCCAGGAAAAAAAAAAAAACAAAGAGCAGGTATCACCTATATGAGGCCTTCTCCTCTTGTTTTTAAAAGGGATGTTTCACTTGAGCTCTTTCAGTGCATCTATCCTATCGTGACTGAAAGACAGGAAGCATTTGCTGAAGACAGTAAGCTCAAGAATTTCTTCTAAAAGTAGTGCAGAATTAAAAAAAAAAAAAAAAAAATAGGGACCAAACTTTAAATCACTCAAAATTTTCAGTGACCCGGGACTATTTGCTGTTCTTCTCACTGTTGATTTGGTTTTTTTGGAGGAAGGAGAAAAGAAGTGGAAAGGCCTGTGCAGGCGTTCAAAGCAGCAGAGACTACATAATCACATGAAAGTGAAGGTATCAACAATTAATTCATCTACTAAGATATGATTCATACTTTGAAAAAGTCTGATTTCCTCTGCCCATACAATATACAAAATCCTTTCTTGTGAGTGTGATACCAATTCACAGCTACTAGCCAATAGGAGATGGCGTTACAAAAAGATTGGGCTTGTTCAGCCTAAAGAGGAGACTCCGGGGAGACCTTATAGTGGCCTTCCAGTAACTGAAGGGGGCCTACAGGAAAGGTGGGGAGGGACTCTTTACCAGGGAGTGTAGTGATAGGATGAGGGGTAATGGTTGGAAGCTGGGAGGCAGCAGGTTTAGACTAGATACAGGGAAGAAGTTCCTCACCCTGAGGGTGGTGAGACACTGGCACAGGTTGCCTAAGAAGCTGTTGATGCTCCATCCCTGGCAGTGTTCCAGACCAGGTTGGATGGAGCCTTGAGCAACCTGGTCTAGTGGGAGATGCCCCTGCCATGGCAGGGGGGTTGGAACTAGATGATCTTTGAGGTCCCTTCCAACCTAAACCATTATATGATTTTATGATTAATACACATCTTTTTCTTATTTATAATAAATACAATTTCTTAGTGTTAGGTGATTTACCTCATGAACCCAGAGACATTTTATCATTCCTGCGGATTCTGTTGCTTCGGATCTTGACAGGTAAACACCTTGAATAACATGTGAAAAGTCCTGGAGATTGAACAAATAGTGAGATTTGGCTGGTGTAGGAAGCAGATTCTTCATAGATTCTTTATACATATGCATGGTTCCATTAATAATTTGCAGAGTCAGTTATACATATTGTGATGGAAAGCTATAACTGACAAGTTATAAAAGATGGTAAGAACAGAATGATTCTCATAATTTCATGATACTAGCATGTGAATTAAAAAATAATATTGTATATATACACTGATTTACTTAAAAGTTCATGCAAGTTTTCAAGTTCTATGATTACACTTCCTCACAGGCAGTTTTACAAATCTTAGTTCTCTCACTGGATTAACAGATGAACTCTGCAAATCACATCTAGTAACTGTAGAATATGCTGACAAATTTGGCTGTGTTAGACAGCTAATTATACCCTTCCCCCCCCTCATTTTTATGACTAACAGCAGCAACAGGGAAGTCAGGTCAAACCGCCCTTGCTGTCTTCTCTCCCTCAAAGGGCCAGAAGCTGCCAAATCACAAACTTAGTCTTGGAAACAGAATACAAGCATCTTTTTGAGCTTAGCTGTCAGAATAGATAGACAATGAAAGTTGAAGTCCATTCCTAATAATAGAATTAAAAATTATGCAGTGGTAAAAGGCCAAAGAAAGAGTAAGCCTTCTCAAACCACAGGAAATTTAAGAGCAATTTCTCATTCTATTCTTTGAATAATGACTAAGTAAATTCTATTCTTATTTATTATACATCAAAGAATACTGTATTACAGAAATATCTCAGCTACTGAATTAGCCTCAGCTAATCTAAACCTCTGTTAGAGACTTCAGAATAAGAACCTTACCACTGGAGTATTTTAAGATGAGCCCTACTTCTATGGAGTGATGAATAACTCAAAAGGCACAGGATTTAAAAGATTGTCATTTCTTTTCAAGAGCAGTGTCCTACAAACATAACTTGGAGACTTCCTGCTACCATAATTTGGTTTGATTTTCCCCAATACATAAAGGTCACTTACCATACTGTTAGATGCCAGTCTAAGATTCTAGAAAAAATTGTATACATGGATTTATCATCAAACCCATTAATATTAACTGTATTGCAGTGTTGCAAGAATCGTGGTATTACTGGGTTTCAACCACCACCTAAATATTAGAAGGCATTAATACTACAATTAGCAGAGAAGTTCAAAATAAACCAGTAAAAACCTAGCAGTTTTTTTCTAATACTCATCTTTGGTTCAGCTAGCAGGCTTACATTGAAAAGTACCACACCTTGTCATAAACCTAATGAAAGCAACATGCAGTTCAGTGTCAATCTGTTCTCCTGTAATGAATAGTCTATAAAATACAGATCGAAATCATCAAGTTATAGATAGATTTGACAGTATTTTAACTACACTTCTGTTATAAAAGAAAGCTTTTATTATAAACTCCAAACCCATGTTCTTGATTTTCAAAGCATCCCAATGAAATAAGCCTCTGTCTATTTGTACAAGTAATGCTGTGTATTTTAAATTAAAAATTTAAATTAAATTTAAATTTAAAATTAAATTTAAATTTTAGTCCAGTTCTATAGTAGCTTTTATGACTAGATTGTGATTTGGACAATGAAGCTATGTATGGAACTAAAGGAGCGTAAAACAAATTTATTGGATACTTGCTCCTTCTGTTTGGAATTCAGGGTTAAGCTGCTGCACAGCGTGTTCAACCTTCTTATAGCAGCAAATCAGAAAAACGTAGCTGAAAAGTGGGCAATCTACCATCCCTAACGTCAGGAGCATAGCTAAGGACAACCAAATTAGCATGGTAAGTTCTTTTAAAACAGGTGACTTTGTAGTTCAGGCATGACCCTGCACTAATGAAACTGAAAGACTTCTGGCCTGGAGCTGTCTCACATTTAGCCACCTGAGACTGCAAGCAGAACTAGTGATTGTCTATATTTAACTGTGTATACATTACTAGTACCTGCTGAGGGATCTCAGTATTTTATGCTAAATAGGCCAGTTATTCATCCTACTTCCTTCTACCTCAACTAAGGTCATCTCTCAGACACAGCAGTTTACAATGCTTCTTGGAAGTTTACGTGTGCACTGTTGGCAAAATTACATAAGCTATTGAGATATAAATATGAAATTTACTCAAAAGATAATTCTTTCCTAATATAAATTTTAAACATAACTTTAACAAAATAACTTTGAATGTTCCTGAAATAACTTTATATTTGCTTCAATAGCACTATATACACATACAGATTTCAGACTTTCATTTCGTATTAGAAGACAAAAAAATAAACAGACTAGAAAGGAGAATATAATTTTGTGAGTTCTGGAAGTAGCTCCCTGTACAGAGCTACTAAAATAAATTCTTCACACTGAAGCTGAATTGTGATATTTGACACAAATAGTTAGGACTATAACTTGTACATTCTATCAGCTTTACTCCTTGTATTAGCACATAATGTACCCTTATTCCTTTAATTCCCCTTTCCAAGACACTCGGAATTTTCTCTTCCTTGCACGTCAGAATGTAGCTGCTCAAAAAAGCCACTATTACCATGAGTCATTGCTTCAACTTGTGAATAAGCAGAAAATGTTATACAGCCTTAACATACTGCTCCATATGTGGGTTAAAGATTAGATTTAACTTTGTGTTTGTGGTACAGCTCAGCTATATGTACCATGGAGAATCCAAAAATACAATACTGTAGAACTCTTCTCAACTTCAAGATTTTTCAATTGATACCATTGCAAAAAAAATATGAATGAAAAGAAAAGAGTATCAGGAACTATCACAAAGTTATAACTTCATGTGTAACTGTGAAAAAAAATTATGTTTCTTTCTGTGCAAACACCAGACAATTAAAATCTAGTTGCCTCATCTGATGGTAGGAATTTTGGAACAATTCCAAATACAACAGGTGAGAACACTAAGCCTTAGTGATAAACAGAAGAAAGGTTCTAAGAAACACATATCCTGAATCTTAATTCAATGTCTTAAGTATCTTTATTCCCATTAGCAATAGCTAATAGATTATAAATTCTGTACCAGTCAGGCATACATATTCATTATTTGACAAGGCTGAGGATGGTATATACCCTCTAACGCTAGTCCTAGCCCATCTTCATGAAAAGCAGTAAACATTAATGAATAAATTTAAATTTAAAATACTCTTACCATTTTGTCAGTTCTAATAGACATGTGTACTTCCATTGTCCAGAAAGTTTGGGATACACAAAGAACTGATTGTCCAGGCCGCTCTCTCACCCAATTAACACGTGGAGGTTTTGGATAAGCTTCAAGTGCATCCCCAATGACCTAGACAGGAAAAATCACACTATAACTACATGTGAAAACAGGTCATGTTCAGCTTTGGAATTCATTTAAGTAAGATTGTATTACTGAGGATAAAAAATAAATCAGGGTCTAGATTCACCCTCAAATTCAACTCTATAATACTGACATCTTGCAAGCAAATCTCTCAACAAAGCTCAAAACCCACAAAATGTCATAATACGAAGTGATTACACAAAATTTCTGAGAACTGATTTCACAACACATTCTAAAATTATTCTTGCCATCAGATATTTAAAATTTTCTAGCTCCATGTACAATGAAACTAGAAAACAATTACAAATACAATTCAGTTAGAAGTAATATCCCAAACAGAAAGTTTTTTCATCTATTCATTCTAGTAAAAACACAGAGCTTTTAATTTTTTCCAGATCATACTCTTTAAACTTGTATCTAACTTCAAGTGTATTTTCTAATAATAGAATTATTAACCTGGTTCTAGTGCCACTCAAGAATAATCTCAATTAAATCAGAACTTGCACTGAGACAAAACTTCCAGTCTATACCAACAGGTTATTTTCCTGCCATTAACCAAATGAACGCAAGAATAAAGTCTTATTATCAACAAACTCCTCAACAAATTTAGATGGCTCCTCAGTCAAACAATGTAAACTACCCCAGTGACAATCTGCCATCTGTATACACAGAATAGCATTAGTTAAAAAAATACATCTATGAGGGAAAAAGGTGACTGTATTGATATGAAAACTATGTAAATGTTATCTATTTCAGATCATTATAAAAGTTCTGTAGTCAAGGCTAAATGCAGACAAATGGTGCTTAACCATTTCTTATTCATGCAGCTCAGCTTGTCCATGTCTGACATGCACCAAATAGATCAGGTTATTCACTTTCTTCTGTACTGCTATGCCGCTACAATAATTAAAATTGTAGTGTAAGACAGTGTCAGGGAAAGTGTGTGCATATATAATTACCTCACTTGACATTGAAAAGGACCATAAAAAGATTACAACAGAGATGGCTAAATATATGACATAATGATGAGACACTGTAAAGACGAGAACAATACAATCTGAAAAGAAAAGTTAAGGGTCTTTATTAAGGTAATCATAATTAAGAGGAACACTAAAAAAAACCAAAACCAACACATGGGCAACCTTTCAGTTTAATCTTGTCCCTTAATACCACATCAAATGTAGAACAAGCTCTGGGAAAAGAATCCTTGGCACAGACGGTTTTGACTCTACTATTTAATTTCAAAGAATTTCAGAGAATTTACAAGAAATTGAGACCAGAACTAAAAAAAAACCAAACAAACCAAACAAACCAACCAACCAACCAACCAACCAAACAAACAAACCAACCCCACCCTTTAAAGACTGAATTCATTGGTTTAATGTTCATACTAGATGCAAAGACTAAAAAGTTATTCCAGTATATGTTAATGTTTACTGATGAAATCAATGGTGAATGCCATTAGCCTAGAAACTAAGAGGTTAGGACTTGTTACCGTGTGGACAGACTTCAGCATAGCTGCCTCCAGTTCAACCAGCCATTTTTCAACTTGACCTCTAGCTTCTGATGTTGAGATTGTCTTTACCAGTTCCACAGTCTCTCCTTCACTACTATGTGTGTAATATCTAATACATCAGTAAACTCCACTCTTGCAATTCCTTCAAAACACTTTTTCAAGTGAGGTTGTACTCTAGAAAATAAAACTAGTATTAAACAGCTTTTGACAAGACAATTTTTTCTTGCCAATACTACCATAAAAGATCTAATTTTTAAAAAAAATCCAAACAATTTACTTAAAAGATCATTTAAAGTTTGTTAAAAAATTCAATAACTCTTGTGTACTGCCCCCTACAAGATGCTTACCACCGTATTTTTTGAAGATCAGTTTAAAGATGTAAAATATTACTTATAGTCTCTGTAACTAATATAAACTAGGAAGGACAAACAAGTATTCTTTCTTTAACTGCTAATCCACCTACAATACATAAAATTCCATTATTTATACCTTCCCAGCAAACTATACCAAACATTAAGGAATTTGAGTAAAGCAACCAAGTATAACCTTAACACCACAGCTTGTAATAAATAAAAAAAACCTTTAAGATTTTTTTCCTCACAAGTTCTCTTGCCCTGTTCATTGCACTGTAGGAATAATTCTCTGTGACTGAGCTGGCATTTTATTTTTTATTTTCATTCTTATTTTTGCATGACTTTGCACTGCATTCACTGCATGCTATCAAGTCTGCATATTGGGAATCAAACGCCAGTTCCTCTGCTTTATAGAGAAGGCTATATTGCTTAACATGATCACTTCTGCAGGAATCTTCATAGAGGTGATTCCACTCAGTATAAGAAGGACTTATACTGAGTTATACTTTGTGCAGTTTAATCCTGAATGAGGTTGGGGAGTAGAAAACCCAGAGAGAGTTAAAACACGGCAAAAAATGTATGAAATACTTTAATTAGGACTGCCCCTAAAAAGATGAAGCTCGAGTCAGTGATATACAAGTTCCATCTGATACTCAGTTTTCTACTGGGAAAAAACATGTATGTTATTTCACCACGAATTACTATACAGACTTCTGATTCTTCTGAAAACCAGTATACAGAAAGGTTACTAGTTTAGAAAACAGAACCAAATTTAATTACCCACATCAAAAATTACTTTGTGTTCATCTATCATAACATCTAACCAAGCAGATATCTTAATACCATAACCATCAGTAAGAGAAAGAGAGAGTTCTGGGCTCATAGAAACAGTATGACAAGATTATCTGCATTCACTGTGAGTGTCAAATACGTCTATTAAATATTACCATACCGAGTAGGATCTTTGGTCTCTGAAAGAATCTCAAGGAATTCATCATTAGAGGAAAAAAATAATCTGGGGAAAAACAGGCGCTTCTTCTCTAGGCCCTTGAGAATTAGCTCCAGAAATTCATTGCACTTCCTCAGTTTTTTCCAACATCTTGTCTATTATTACTACTGTCAACACATGTTTGTCCTGGAAAAGAAATTATTCCAGATAAAAATGTTAATGCCTTCTCAAGTAAATCACCGAACAGCACTGCAGGAAGTCTTAAGCAAAATGAATCTTTATTTCAAATTCTGCTTTACTCAAACCATTGTCAGGTTGACAATTCACTAACCTTCCTCATTACAAGGGTTCACTGGAAAAGTAGTTAGGCAGTTGGTATTAAATTAAGTTTTTCAAAACATGTACTATTACCTTTCAATATAATTTTCAAAACATCAATGCTAACAGCACAACTCCCATCATTCTGTCGGAGCAACATAATTTACACTGGGTATTCAATTGGATTATGTAATTAAGCAACATGAACAATTAAAACATTTTGATGGAACACAGCTTCTACCACAGCTTCTCATTTACCCCTAAACCAGACTGTATTTCTCTGGAATTTGAATGCCCACAGGTGAGATGGAAACAGAGCTAACTAGAAACGTTAGGTTCCCCCCTAAGCCTTAAGTCCCCCCTGCTCTGCCCAGTGAGTGCACCTGTAAGCACACAGCATAGAACACATATCCAGGATTAAAATAAAAATAAATAAAATTTTTAAAAAAGATTACATAAGTATATACAACCATAAGAAACACCAAAGAGAGTGGCGGGGAGAATTTCAGACTCGTCGATCTACTGAGGGCTTGTAAGATCTGCTGACAGTAACAACAAAGAATCCTCCAACAATGGATAGCAGAAATCAAAGATGTACCCAGACTATTTCCACTTGGAACAGTTTTGTCAGAGCCCATTACAAATACAGAATGGCCTACTAGAAAAGTCCCTGAGAGGGTTTGCAGAACAACATAGTCTCACAGAGCTGAAGCACGGGTGACTCATGTTGCAAGGGACAGATGAGGAGAGACGGGCTAGACTGCTGTGCAGAGCCCAGAAGGTGCAAAGGGTATCTGTAAGAAACAGACTCCTCACAGAGTGACAATGCAGATTTGACCCCGTAACCTGACTGCTGTTCAGCTTCAGTTTGGAGAATTTAATAATAAATTCCAAGTTCAGGTTCAGTTCAAAAACTCATAACATTTTGAAATTGTTTGCAATGTGCATTCAGCTTTGGTTCAATTCCCTGCTCATGTTACACATGTACTTCCAATCTGCTGAAAAAGTCCAGAATTGTATGTTTATCTAATTGAGCTTCATGGGAGTGCACCTTCCTAATACAATAATCATAGTGTTCCTTTGTACACGAAATAAATTTACCTTCTGTCACTTGTCTCTTGCATCATACAAACCAGAAGAAACTCAACAACTACACATAGTCAATTAAGCTGTCAGCATACATAGTTCATAATTGGTTTTATAAAACAGTTTTTAATGCACAAACAACCATGTAACTATACATTGTCAACAGAAAGAGGTTTTGTTCCCTTTCTTAGCATATTTACTGTCATCAAATAGAGTAAATGCAATTGGTAAAGCAAATCAAAGCTGTGTTGCCAGTTTTATAAATGGGATTCTTCCTGCTTGTTTTTTCTTTCATATGAGAAAAAGTCAGGGGGAAAAAAAAAAAAACTATGCTTCAACACGGATATCCTATTTACAGTTCTGCTAAGGCACGAAATAAAAAGGGAATGCCACCATTCTCAGTCCTTCAAAACACCAGCATAACTTATTTTGTCAGTGACACTATCAGTGTCAATTACTGGAAAAAACGGTACCAAGAAAATAGTATAAATCAAGTGTATAGAAATATAGAGTAGCCTGTTAAAAGACCATCACTAATTCTAGTTTCTAAACACAATTGGTAACATATCACACGTTGCAGACTGGGATTTTTTTTCTTGCCCTTTTTTGGTTTTGCTTTCTTCCCCACAAAGACTGAAAAGATTACATATCCTAGATTTCTTTAAAATGTTTGGGAAGTAGAAATTAAACCACTATGTAATTTAACCCTCGTTAATGTCCATTGCTTAAATTAGATATTTAAAATGAAGGAATAAGATATGACTATTCAAATTTGTGATGAAACGCTTAGCAAATAAAGGAATTTTATAATACATGGCATATAAATGCAAAAAAGCATGAACAGACTCAAGTTAGCTTATGCTTTAAGAAAGACCATTCATATAGACGGGAGAAGAGCATCCTTTTAAGTGAAACTCAAACATTGCATTTGTGGAAACAGAGTGCCATCTTCTGGAAAATAATGCCTACTTGTTTAGCCAAAATTAACTTGAGATTGTTAAACTTCTATTCTGGCATCCATACTCTCCTGTACAAACAAAAGATGATTCTTTTTTCTGCCAGTGATAGCATATCTCACATTCAAAAAATACTTTGTATTTGATTAGCACTGAATATCTGAATTAGAAGATTTTTATCAAAACAGATCAATCAGCACACAATGTTCAGAAATGCAATACTCATCAAAATTCTGAAATTCTTGTCCTTTTTTATTTTTACCCAATTTCATCCCCAAAGTGAATACTATTGATTTCACAGCTCTATGGGATAAATGCCTGATTTTCTTCTAAATCAGAAGAAAAATAGAGAAAGAAGCAGAGGGCAGGACAGAAGAAAACAAGAGAGAGAGGGAGAAAAGTGGAATGAGAAAGAATAAACAGAGAATAAAAAATGAAACATAACTATATTTTTAAATAATCAAGCTGTATTGCTAGGAAATGAAGCATATGCTTCTTTTCGTATACTACACATTTTATGTATTCCTACATTAAGACCACATCTGCAATCTGAAAAGAGCTCACACCAAACGCTTTTAGACTGAGTGAAGATTCTAGCATTTGTCCTAATGACAGAATGGATCTCTGGAAGTTCTGCAAAGGCACAAGACGGATGAAAACAAAGTTCTATTTTTTTTTTTTTCCTTCAAACAGAAACCTTATGTCCCTTCCCTGGAAAATAGTGGACCTCATAAATCTTCTCAAGTCTGTTGAACAGTTTAGTAAGCCCAGTTAAAAGAAAATACTAAAAACACAACATCCTACTAGAAATATCCTTTATATTAAGGAACTTTTTCAGAATGAATGCTGTTTCTCTAATCATTATTAGAATCATTAGAATTATACAACAGGATTACCAGAATTATTAGGTAACTAGTTATTCCCTGAAAAGAAGAATTTGTAGAGTATGTATTCAGACCATCAATCATGTAACTGCTGCAGAATCAGCTGTGCCAGTTTCAGATGTTACCTCTTCCCTTACTAGTACCACCTTTTTGCTAGAAGCTATTGCCCTCTCAACAGACTCAGCAGAAGACGACTGTAGGAGTGTTCTTCGTCCAGTTAGGCTGGCAAATACAACCAATCTAACCCAATCCAAGGCTGAGAAGATCTAAATACTGAAGCAAAGAGCATCCATATAATCTCATGATGAACAGTGCTAACTTCCAGAAGGCATTAAATAAGAAGCATATTGACACGACAGTAACATTTTGAACCACCAGATGCATGCAGAGATGGTGTCTAACAACTGCCTTATGTACTGATTTATAGTAGATGAGAATAGTACTTTTGAAGCAAGTTAAATATCTAAACAGTTTAAAATTACAGAGGCAGCTCTACCATTCAATATGCAAATAAACAGCATTTTTCAAAAAGAATAATCAGTGTAAAAATTCATCAGTTCATGTCAATTGAACTACAGTGCCAGAATCATCATTGCTATGGTACTTTGGTTTGTATGCAGCTTAATTTCACTCACCAGAATGGCACATGGCCTGTGAGAAGAGGCTGGGAGAGCTAGACTTGTTTGGCTTGATGAAGTGGAAATTAAGTAGAATTTAACTGTAGACAGCAACCACATGAAGGGCAATTGAAAAAAAAAAAAAACAGAGCCAACTTCTCAGCAGTGACAGTTGGGCAACAGATACAAATCTTTGCTTGGGAGGTTCAGCTTGGACATCAGGAGAAAATTATTTACTAGGAAAGTACCACAGCACTGAAGTCTCTGAAGGTAACCCGCAAGAAATCTCTGTCCTTGGAGATTTTTGAAATTTGGCTAGACAAAGCTGTGGCTGACCTGATGTTGCGTTGGCAAAAGTTCTGCTTTTAGAAAGACGTTAAGACTAACTGAACTCCAGTGGCCCCTCCCAATCAATGTTTCTATGATTCTACGTGAAACAGTTCTGCAAAATAATTTTTAGAAGAACCTGAGAAAGGGGGCTACGATGAAACAGAAAACAGATTACTGTATTATCAGAAGCAATTTCTTTTTTGTTGTTGTTGTTAATGTGGGAAAACTGCCCAGCTTGCCATGTAACAAAGATGCAGGCTAATTAGCATGCTTATTTTGTACCAGCCTGGGACAGAATGCAGGCTAACTAATGCACTTATCATATGAGCATCTTGCTTATCTGGCCAAGACAGTGCACAGATGTTGGAAGTTTTATGACCTGGCAATCTGGATGTTTTATGACCCAGCCCAATTACTGCAACTGCTGGGATGAGGCAAAGGTCTTATAGCCAGAAGTTTTATCAACAAGGCTGGAGACAGGGTCTAATTGCTAGAGGTTGTACCAATACCAGAGCAGGAGACCACATCTCTAGTGAGCATTGGCTTCCCACCCCCCGCAATTAATTAGCCTGCTAGGAGCTAATCAGAACACAAGATATGATTCAGTCCCATCTCATCAATAAGTATAAAATTAGTCTTTAGAATTCTCTTTTTTGAAGGTGAGAATGCCAAATACTGGACAGGTTGATAGGCCTGGACCTTTCTGCTCCCCAGGCAGGGACACCTTCTTGGTGAGAATCATGATACTTAATTATCTTGCTTATTGTAGTGGTTACTTAATTTATACTTGTCTGTTACAGTAGAATCATGGAATGGTTTGGGTTGGAAGGGACCTTAAAGATCATCTAGTTCCAACCCCCCTGCCATGGGCAGGGACACCTCCCACCAGACCAGATTGCTCAAAGCCACATCCAACCTGGCCTTGAACACTGCCAGGGAGGGGGCAGCCACAACTGCTCTGGGCAACCTGTGCCAGTGCCTCACCACCCTCACAATGAAGAATTTCTTCCTAACATCTCATCTAAATCTCCCTTCTTTCAGTTTGAAACCATTACCCCTCCTCCTATCACTACACTCCCCACCTTTTCTGAAGGCTCCCTTGAGGTACTGGAAGGCCCCTCTAAGGTCTCCCTGGAGCCTTCTCTTCTCCAGACTAAACAACCCCAACTCTCTCGGCCTGTGCTCACAGGGGAGGTGCTCCAGCCCCATGATCATCTTCATGGCCCTCCTCTGGACCTGCTTGAGCAGGTCCATGTCTGTCTTACGCTGGAGGTCTGCTCTGAACCTCATGACCAGACGGGAGGGTCTCCCTGACCACATAACAAGCTCCTATCCTTAATAAATCAGCTGTTTAATTTCCCTGTATCCTTAGTCATAAACTGTTGACCATGTCTGGAACTAGGATGGGATCTAACTGTACTCTCTGAAGGAGTCTGGGAAAGTAAGGGGGGGGTCTCTCTGAACCTCATGACACAATCGGAGGGTTTCCTTATTCTCCGTATCTTAGACATAAAACCGTGGACTGGTTCAACAGAGGGCCTTCCCCACCCACCTTCCTCCCTTGGACATAAACTGTTGTCTCATTCTACAGGAGGGCCTCCCTCAGCCACATATCAAACTCTTTACCCTTTAATGAGAGAGTTACATACTATAAATTCACTCTTTATTCTTAAGACAGAAGTACTTACCTGAAAAACTGATTTCATTAAGTCTTTCCACATCTTAACTACAGTACTGAATCATCTGCTTTCCTCAGGCATCTGAGCCATGATGTCAGGAGGACTGAAAATTGGCTTCAAATAAAGCCAAGTAGCCTGAACCTTCAGCCATTCATGTAGGATCTCCTGTACCAACAACAGCTTTCCTTCCCATTCCCTATAAAATAGCATTAGTTCAAATGCATTAATTGATGATCCAGTAAAAGATTTCCAGCAGACTGCTCAGATCTTTTTCACAATTTGCATATTTTGCAGCAAGTGGAACAGGTGTAAGTTTTAAGATTTCAGCAGAATATCATATTCACGTAGCCCAATTTCCTGCATAACAAAATCCACATTAATTTCTGCAACTGGATAATCTGTAAGGTTGATTGTAGGATTTCATTAACTAGGTTAATCCAATACATAGACTAACAGCATCAGTGAATAAACATAGCACACTTTAGCATGTAATAGTATCAGTGGACAAATTCACTTCAACTGAGTTTGTAATCTGGTTTCTGGCATCAAAGCCCAGACAACTACTTCTAACTGTTTGCTAGGACAGACAGGCTGAGATGGCAAAAGAAAGACACGAAGGTAACCTAAAACTACTAAAACAAAAATATGTAGACGCTGTCCTAAAAAGACATTTGGTCTTAATTAAAAGATTTCAAGAAGTAAATAGTCCAATGGTCAAGTCACATTTTATTTCTGACTTCAAATTCCAAATGTGGATGTTGAACATATTTGTTTGATAGATCAAAGAGTCCTTCAATATTACTGCACACCAATATGGGTACACAATATTATAATTCAATAGCTATTCAGTCTTTCCTCTTGATAGCCGAAAATTCAAGATCCTTTAGTCTATCATTTTTCTAAGTGTCCTCAATCTTTCTGCATAATTTCAGAATTATTAACACCACTCACCACTTGACACTTCTTACTATCTCACCAATATCAGGCAGATGTGATATTATCAGTTCTCCAATATCACTGGTATTCCTAATTCACTGACATAAAGCAATGCACAAAAAATATATAAAAATAAAACACTATTTATAATCCTATAACAAGTACATATATTCTTCTTTCCTATATAAAAACAGTGAGTATTATTTTTTACAGCTTCCATACCACTGGACAGTACAGATAGAATTCTTATAGTAAGTGCATGCTGCTAAAATACATATTGTATAAATGAACCATGGCAATAATTTTCTCCACAGGACACTCATACATGGGCTGCACGGAGAACTGTAAAATGATACATGTGAAAAAATACTTCTTCCTTCATTCATTCACCTGCCATATATTCTAAACAATAGACAGCTTTGCTTGCCTGTACCTTCTCCTCTACCAAAGTCCCTCTTTCACCTTTAAGTATCGGTACCTCGTCTCCGGTGATTTTTGCTTCTACCAAGAGGCAGAATAAAATGCAGCTTTCCAAGAGGAAAGTTAGGCAGGTCAGTTAATTTGCTTACACCAAAACTGAAGATGAGGAATTAGGAATAATCTCTGGCAGCAATCCAGAATTCTACATGCTTTGCTGGATTATTGAGAAAGCAACCACTGTATAATCGACTAGATTTCATAAACTGAAGCAATAGTAATACCTTGTATTATTACAAATGCTATCAATCACCAAAAATCTCTGATGAAATTACCACGGCAGGCTTACTCTTTTTAAATAGGTAAAACCTACATTAATAAGGAAGGAACTCTTATATTACAGTACAGTAGTAATCAGAGAATTAATACTTATTGGAACGTATACACATACGTTCATATTTATTGAATAAGTGCTGAAATCCGAAATAGCATTTTTGCAGGTTAATAGGAGTTTGGAGGTTCCTATATAGCTAGATAATTACAGCCAGACTTTAGATGAAAGATATTTGGGTTTCCACAATATGGCTATGTTCAGGGATTTAAGAACCAAGTAAAGTATTTATTGAGGAAAGAGACAAAAACAGATTAAAATCTATGCTCAAAGATGGAAGTATAGAACTTTTAACATGCAATGTTAAGTTTTAGAAATTAATTTCCTGCATTAGGAAAAAAAAAAAATTTCATCACTTCCCTGAAATTTGTCCTGTTTCACTTTTCTTCATCTCCCTTACATAAGGCCTAGCATTTTTAATTGTTCAAGAGCTAAAAGATTCAGTAGCTTTATAATCTAGGTGGAAAGTTTAGACTATAGTCTCTTGTTCTACAACTTTTCCATCTATACCTCAGATATGTTTTATCTGGTAAAAAAAAGGTAATGTGATGCATCTGGTACCTTGAGTACCAGAGTTTGTAAAAATGTTTAGCAACCTCTTCAATGCATTAGTACTTCCCATATTGTTAACTGAAAGTAAAAATCAGCTTTATGGGATTAAATGGCATGTAGCTGACACGGGACAAAAGCTTTAGCCCTTTAAAATGAGATTAATTCACTGCTTAAGGAGGATAAACAAGAGCATTTGAAGTCCCTATACTTCAGGTTAAGCAGAAAAGATTTCTTATTTGGTAACACTAGTTGGTGACTTTCTATTAGAAGAAAATTTATCTTATTCTTTTTTAATTTCTTTTTTCATAATGCTTAATGAATGGAGATCCTCTCATTGTCTGAGTTTTGACAACACGGTTATCCAGTAACATATGAATATCATCTACAGATGACAAAATATGGGTTCCTGTTTCTCTATAAGCAAGAAGAGTGAACTCCATTTGATCCCATTCAGAAATCATTTTCGTTAAAACCTTCTCAAGTGAATATTCTTTGCTGGCTTTTTCACTGATGGTCTCAAACTTTTCTAGGAATGGTTCAAGATGCAAGTTAATATATGACAAGACATTTGAGTCTTCAGAAGGAGATAGTGGTAAACCAGCAATTTTTGCCATCTCTTCCCAGTGCCATTCTTGCAAACCAGGATTGCAGATCACCTGGATTAGAGGGATGTGGCACCTGAATTCCTCTACTTTTGATTTAACCTGTCTTGTTATTGCTAATGCATTTGGAGAATTGTGGAAGGCTTTTTCTAGTTTATATAGTCCATGCCAGTAGTTTCCTATACCTACCTCTACTTTGTCTGGATTCACTTCTGTAAATGATGCCTCTGTCCAGTCTTTGTGTTTTCTGATGAATTCAACAGTCATATCATAGAGACAAAGGTAGGGAGCAAGAGTACTCTGGATGTTTTTATGCTGAGGATACTGAGATATTGGCCATCCAAAGGACTCTTCTTCTGAACTAAACTGATCAATCTGTTGAGACATAAGTGAGGTCTGAAATACAAACAAAGCTGTTCATGATACCAGGTCAGGTCACAGGGATTGGGGGGGGGGGGATTTTCCGGTGTCTTCAACAAGCTTCAAATTAAGTTTTGAGTTACTAAACCAGTCTATTATGTAATAGCTGGTATCGACTGCAGCTAAAGAAATCTTTAACTGAGTAACAGCTCAGCATTTGTGCTGGACAACAGAGGAATATAGTTAGAGGTTTAAAACGGTACCTGGGCATTCCTCGATAATTTGCATTACCATAGAGGCTTTAACAGACAGGAGGTAATAATGAGCATCAGGAATTGCACTTCCAAGAACATAAAAGTATAATATCTATGCAAACCTACATAAATTTAATCCACTCTTTCACTATGCAATGTGCTGCCATATTAACTCAAGACCACACAGTAACAAATCAGTGCGCTCAGAGATTTGTAGTTGAAATTGCAAATCACGTAAAAATATTTCATAGCTAATTTAAGAATAGTCAGCCAAATCTCAGTAATTGCATTACTAAGCAAACTGTTAATTACAGTAATACAAATATTAAGATTTACGATTTGTATTATTGGACTAGTTTAAACTACAATCTGTACCTTATCAGCAGCAAGATCCAATTTTGTATTTAACGCTTGAGCTTTCTTCAAATACCTGTTGACTTCCTGAATATCTCCAAATGCGCTGAATTCTTCAACCTGCTTAGAGTAGTTTTTCAGTTCCCCAACAAATTGTTCACAGCGTATCTAATTAAACGTCAAGCAAGCATACTAATTTAAAAAAATCAGAATAAATTTCTATAAAAAAGAATAACTATTCTGATTTGCTATAGTAGGACATTTTATACTTGCAGAAAATCCAAGACATCCAACACATATGCATGTGAGTATCTATTCCACCCAAATTACAGAATTTGTCCTGAATCCTACTGTTACCTGCAGTGACTTACTGGGCTGACAGACACAACTTTGGGTTCTATGTCATAGGATATAGTTGGACATAAAAATTTCTGCTCTCTGTGATGGACGTAGTCAGCAGGCTAATAATACAAAACTAAATTCAAATGCCTAGTATATCTCAAATTAAAATTCTAAAAGATAAAATACAGTATAAGAGATTAAAAAATAAAAACTAATAAACCAAACCCGAATCAAGACGCATTTATGTTATAAAACTACCTTATTTGACATTATCCTAACAGCAAAATCACACTTACAAATTAATGCAGGTTGGGGTTTTTTTGACCTATCATACAAATTTCATATACTGCCATTGTCTCTGAAGGTACTGGTCATGTGCATAAATCAAGCCATGTACGTGTCTTTAAAGGATATATCTGAATTTTACTATTTCACAGCACCCACTAATTTTTGCTCCAATTCAAGCATGTCACATGTATCCACTTTCTGCATACAGGCCTGGGGAATAGAAATTAAAAGGGAAGATTTTTTTAATATATTTTTAAATATCATTTAATGCCAAAATAATGCCTGATGTTAATACTTAACTTCAAAAGCTCCTTTTTACAAGGAAAATTAAGTAAAATTAGAAATACATGTAATACGTATTTGCATATGTAATGGCATAGTATTAGCCATTTTTACAGCATATAACTTGTCAATACAACTGCCTTCCTAGCTATTTTATCGAATAAAACTCAAAATGAAGCTGTATGCACAAAGGTTTGGACTAATGGAAACCAAACAGACAGCCCGTTTTAAGTGTTGCAAATTTGGCAAAGAAAGCACGGCGCTACCAAGAAAAATTAGTAAAATCACTACAAGAGAGAAAAAGGACACACTTCAGAAAGGGAAGCACTGGACAGCCCAATGTAAGATTAGGTCTTCCCTAACAGTAGCAGTATAAGGAATGCAGACAGCTGGTGTACTGCTCATTATGATTAATAGTAAAATTACGCTGTTCTTTTGGATCTCAAGAGTTGGTAGTAAACTGCATTGATACATGATTTTAACAGCAGTTTCTATGCTTCAGAATATACTCATTGCTATAAAGAATATTTGGCTACTAAAAGAATACTCCCAACAAAGACTGATATATCTTTTCAGCAATGAGATGGAAGAACTATTACAAGGGGTTTGATGCTGGCATAATATTACATGCTACCCACAATTACATGCAATTTGTTTATTCTCGAACGAAAAATTATAGCATAATATGTATGCATTTTAAAGGCACCATATTCTCAGATAGAGATAGTTCAACTTCTAAACATTTTACTTTTTACTTGAAAAAATTACTCCAGTGATAGCCCACATTGAACTTCACTGTAGTAAAAGTTCAAATCACTCAGGCCCAGACTCAGCCAACCACTCAGGACCGATTTTATTTTAAGCACACACCTATATTTCACACATTTAATACTGGGCACGTACATCAGAACTTTGCTGAACAGCAAGAGACTAAGACATGTTACATTTCAAGTGTGAATCTAAGTGCTTCACTGAACTGGAGCCTGCATACATCAAAGAAACAGCAGGGTTTTGATTATAGAAGTGGTATTTGTAAGAGGAGATGGGATTTTACAGTTACCGAACTGCAAACCCCACATCTGCTAAATTTTAAATGATCATTCAACAAAGGATGCAAAGGCAAAATTACTTCATAAAACTTGCCAATGAGTGCTTTTCAAAGTTTTCTTGTGAAGAACTAAACGTATGTTAAACGCATTCCCTACATCTAAGGTTTCAACTCTGATCAGTTTAGGATATTGGGAACGCATATTGAGTCTTCCACATTTAATTCAAGTGCTTGAATTGAATTCAAGAGAACCAACTGTTTGACTATTCACTACTTGACTAAACTATCTGTTCAGAAGCCTGAAGAACATGCAGCCTATATTTAATTCCACTGGCATGTTGCCCACACTACAGAAATTACCTGTTACCTGCTTACACTAGCTAGATAGGGATAGAACTAAAACCATGCATTTATTCCAAGCCATTATATATGAATGCATTGCTTCCTGAAAATCAGTGAAAAAACTTCCAGGTAATACCTATATTACTAACTAAATACCTATATTTAGTTATAGGCTCAATCAGTGTTCCAGCCAGCAACAGTGCTTGCTAGCATGCTCCCCCTACAGCAGTGGTCTCCAGACTTTCTTGATCACACATCATTATCAGCCAGAAATTTTTGAGCATGCACTCCAAATGTATGTATATTTAGATTATATACACATACTACTGCACTAACATACTATGTACACAATAAAGCACACACAAAAATAGAAATTAAAAAGGATTAATTGAAGATGAAATAAACAATATTTCAAATAATTTTTAATTTTACAGGATTTTTTTCTTTCACTAACATTAATAATATTTTTAGTGAGAGCAATGTGATTGAATATGCTTCATTAATCTTGGTTTAATACTTTGAGATTCAGAGATTCAAAGGTCTTATTCTAAGTTCAGTTTATTTCAAAACTTCATTTTAATGGCTACCATAGCTGCAAAAAAATAATTAAAAAACAACAAAGATGCACAGATCCAAATGGAAGACTTGCATCATTTGCTGCACTTATGAAATCATGATCCCATCCACCGATTATGCAAAGGATTTTATTGAAGTTCATCTAGTAAATTTCCATCTTCCCCAACATCACTCAGTTGTTCTTGCTAACTAATTGGAAGGTCTTACATTTCTACATTTTTAACAAATGTGTTCAAAAGCCACTGAAACATTTTGTAAAATTTTTAAACAACTCAGAAAATTCCGTTTCCAATTCCGTTTAAATTGTACACATGTGAGTTTTTAAAGGGAAGGACACATAGTTTTCAGTAACAAAAATCACATAACAATGGAAACATTTCCAAATGTCCATTTTTCAAAAAGCTCCATCATAGCATGATTTACTTTCAAAAAGCAGCTAATTTCTCATTCATTCTTAAAGATGTCACCTTTACCTTGAAGGACAGATTGTCATTACTTTACCAAAAATATCTGCTAGTTAGCATACTACTGACAGCCACTTGTCATCACAGAAAAAGGTGATCAGCAAAATTAGGAATACTTGTCTTTTTGTGAAAGAAAAATTAATAACTCACCTTTAAATTCAACAACTATTTAAAGAAATTTGCAACAAGATAACCAGCAAACCTGTGTGGCACAGAAGATTTGCATGGTTACACCTCATCTCAGTACAAACTGTTATGAAGCTTCTACTATTTAAAGATCTTGTTTTATAAAGTTAACCACACTAATGACATCCTGTAGTACTTTGTGCACTTTTGGCTCCAACACAGTTGCTGCCATAGCATACTTAGGAATGATGCAGTGCGTGAATTTCACATCTGATGCTACCTCTATAACATTACCCAGGAATCCTTTTTTTAATTCTGGTCAAAGAAGCCACTCCATCAGTAGTTACACTTGAACAGTTTTTTCATAAATTATTGCTTTTATTAAAGAAGTCGTTTACTGTTGAGAATATATTTTCTCCAATACATCTTTCCTTTAGTGGGTCAGAAAAGGGTAGTTCTTCATGTATTTCATTACTGAAACAGAAACTCACAAATATCATACAAGTGAGATAAGTTAAACATCCATACTTTCATCCAGCTGTATAGCAAATCTCCTACACTGCATAATTTGTTCTAATACTTGTTTCTACAAATCTTCAGCAATGTTTTCCATGTGCTTTCCAACAGTGTTTGTTGATAGAGAAATGCATTTTAGTTTGTCATCATATTGTTTTTCGCCACAGGATGGCAGAGGTTGGAAGGGACATCTGAAGATCATCTAGTCCAACCCCCTGCTAAAGCAAGTTCACCTACAGCAGGTCACACAGGATTGCATCCAGGCAGGTTTTGAATATCTCCACAACCTCTCTGGGCAGCCTGTTCCAGTGCTCTGTCACCCTTAACGTAAAGAAGTTTTTCCTTATGTTTAGATGGAACTTCCATGTACTATTTCAGCCATTTTTACCACAGCAGGAAGAACAAGTGTTTGCCAATAGCATGTGGCTTTTTCTCTTTCACTAATAAATAAGACGAGGCTCCTGAGTCTTCTAAGCATGGATCATTACATTTTGTAGAGTACTGTATTAAGTATCGCATGACTTGAAAGTTCACAGAAGAAATTGTAGAGGTTTCTTTTCATGATCTGGATGCTCAGTTTTCACGTCTTGCTAAGTGTGATGGTTTCATCATTAACTAATATCTCAAGGCACAATAGACATTTCAGGCAAAGTTCATCATTAACAACAGTGGATATAAACCCATATTTCAAATACTCTTCCTGAAAATTTGGGGGGGATTTTTTGCCCAACTTGTCAAATCTGATTAGAACATCATTTTTTTTACTTTGTAATGTGGATGATTAAGAGCTCATACTAGGTCTAGAAGTGTCAGGTCTGCCATTTTCTTGTTGATCACTTGTACTCGCACTATTAGTATTATCTTCAATAAGCAGTTTCTTTAAGGGAATCTTTTTAACCCACTGGCTCATTTTGTGAGGGTTAGGTTAGTTAAAACTAGATAACATAATCCCTAAATCTACTTAACTGGGCACACAAACCGTAATACACTGAAAGCAAGCAAACAAGTGAGGGTGC